GAGACAGCTCTGGTGGTGTTGTCCAGGTACATGTTATTAAAATTATAGTGATCTTAGGATAACATGATCATATTATTCAACCAAATAAGGATTCAAAAGATATCTTCTATATTTGGGTGGTCATGCACTCATTAATTCCTTCCAAAGGTATCTTCTATCTTTGTGAGGTCAGTCATTAATTCCTTTTCAGACAGATTCATTAATAAGTATGTGTGCATTTATCATGTTTTAAAACAATGGAGCCTCTGTTCGTGAGCATAAAAATGTTTTTGGCCCCACTTAGTCATTTTAGCCTTAGCTGCTCAAGGCAAGGGTTAAAATGCTTCTTAGAAGGACCTCAAAAACATATTTAATTATACCCAAGAACATAAACTGTATTACTAAATTATTATTATCACTCTGGAGGGCATTGGAAAAATGCAAAGTGATAAAATTGACAACATAACAGTCTAAACAATCATGCAAGTGGAAGCATTTTAGCATGCAAAATGTGTCACTATGCCCAACAAAATGATAACTGTTACATTGGAGGTCAGCTTTTTTTAATTTTTTTATCTTTCTTTACTTTATGTGTTACTAGATTCTTTGTTTGTTCTTTCATTTGTATAAAGGATCATTCTGTCAGTGCTGCAGCTACAGCAGCAATCTTAGCTCATGAAATGGGTCACAACTTTGGCTTTCTTCATGATGAGGACAGTAAGTGTGTTGACTTGGAGTATGTTTTGTGGTACCTTACACATTTGGCATTTCAACCTAAGCAGTGTGCAATAAAAACATGTGAATTTTTCATCTTTGGACTTCCCTGTCACAGAAGTTAAATTTTTTCATGATTACTAGGAGTAGCTTTCATTTTTTCAGTGCTAGTTCTTTTTTTGTTAGTGCTAAAATAACACCCAAGACCTAGAATTATTACAAGGCATTTCCTTTTGACTGAATGCTCAAAGTTCTTATATTGTCTGTTACTGTAGATTTAAGTTGTTAATTTACTAACACATGTTGTTTGTCTGTGCAGTTGAAGGTTGTAAATGTGATGCACCTGCTGCTGATCAAGGATGCATTATGTCTGCTGTGGCAAAGTATGTCTTTTTTTTCTTCATTAAGGCAGGTTAATTCAGGAGTATGTTGTTAGGATTTTTTTGTCAACCCCTTTTGACAAAAGAGGTAAAGCCTGCTTATGAGCGAAGTGGCCAATTGCTCCAGTGCTTAACTCTGATTTCCATAGCATGAAGCGACTAGGAGTATTTCTAATCCCCCCTGAATGGAATGCTAGTCCATCACAGGTTACCACCAGCATTAAATTTGCTGGTACCCATTTAATGTGGCTAAATGTATTTAGGCAAAGTTAAATGCAAGCAAATGCGGCCAGCGGTGTCCGCCCCTTCGCGGTTCGTGACCTGTGGGGTGGGCCTCAGGGGTTATGCAGGGTTTTCAAGGTTCCCGGCCTTTACACATGCAGTTGCATCAGCAGATCTTTGGGGATGGAAGCTTAGCCGTTGCGAATCTTTGCAGATTCCTGCACCCTCTCCTCCCTCCCTCTCGGCCTGGGTTGCTAGGGTATTATCTTTTCAGGTAAGTTATTTCCACTGAATTTCAGTGTGACAGTGCTGGTTGGCAGGCGCCCTGCCGGGGTGGTCCCCACGTTTCAGGGTTGCCATGGATACCTCTCTTGCAGCTTGCATCTGGCATCCTACCAACCTTTTAGGCACCAGTTCCCAAGCTCATCTATTTGTGATGAGTTTAAATTCTCCTGAGTGAAGAGAGGCACTGTGAGAGAAAAGCATCTTGCCCAAGAACACAACACAATGTTCCTGGCCAGGGCTCAAACCCAGACCCCTCAATGTGGAGTCAATGACTCTTTGCATACTAACCATGAGGTCACCGCAACTCCAACATTTGACAAAAGAGGTTGGGTCTTTTTCCATACATGTTACTAAGTGTAGTTGTGTGGACTTCATAGCAGACTCTACAAAACTCCCATACAAAATCTGTTGTGATATTTTCCCTTTCATAATTGTTTTCAGTTCTGGATTCTTCACCTGCTTCTCAAGAGTAAATAAGATGCAATATTGAAGGGCAATACCCTTGTATTTTTGTGCAGAATGAGTGCTTACCAAAAAGCTGGGGAAGGGGCAGCAACTACGGCAGGAAAAAGGCAAACCAAGTCGAAAGTGCATGGCATTGCCCCTGCAAACCTTATGGGGGCCTCCTACATC